TATTTTGCTTTTGATAAGGACAAATTCACTAACTTATGGCAACATCTTTTAAAAGATAAGTTGAAGTAATCATAGGTAGGATTACATTATCATCTTCTATTCACATCTTTATTAGTCATTAGAAACAATTTATGCAGTCTCCCATGACAGCTGAGTCATAAAAATAAACTGACCATAATTAATAAAATAAGTAGCATATATCTCACAAACTTGAACCAATCAACGTTTTTTAAATGTCATTTTCCTTTTCCGGACACCATAGTTAGTTAAGATCAGCTATTTTCATTTCTGATCGCAATAAATGTTGACAAAATTTGTTGACTAATGTAATTTGTGCACACGTTTTTCAAACTTTCAAGAACTTAAGAGTGTTATTTGTTTTTTACATCCAAAGATATCGCATGGTATCCTGTGATCTTTTTAAATACCTTTTTTAATGCCCTTGATGTGTGGACTAATGCGAGGACTCATAAGCTTACTGTATGTGGCAACAGGACCTGACTGTAATCAATTAATTACACAACCTTTTTATCACAGTTCGTAAAATATCTTCAGCCAATCAAAAAGAAATAACAAAGAAAAGAAACTTTGTTTGGAAGAGCAAAAGAAACAGAAATTTAAAAACTATATCAACAACCCAAGCCACCATGGTGTGACCGCTAGACACTCGCCAGTGGATCTGAAGGTTGTGGGTTCGACTCTAAACGGAGTCGAACTTTTTCTCCAAAATTACCTTGGCTCTAAGTTTTACCCAGCGTTGAGCAGGTACCAGGTAAGATCCTGGGAAATAAAGGTGGCCACATCACCCACTGAGTGTTAATTGGTCTATCAAATACTAGCTCTATATGCCAGATACACCTGAAGGTGTGGAAAGGGTCCCTTTTCTTACTTTTAAAATAACGTCAAGCATTTATCATGTTCATCATTATCATCATCATATCATCATCATCATCATCACGCTATTTATACATCACACAGCGTTTGCAGTCTATTGTTGAATTTTCTTCTATCCCGTGCTGTCTTCATGGTACTATTACTACTATGAATAGAATCCAGCTCCACATTTTGTATCTCTTATTAATGTTCATCATAGGGTCTCTATTGGATTTCTTTATTTCCTCAGTCCATTAGGTAAAAAAATTTGAAAAAATAAAAAAATTCAAAACAAATCGCGACAGGCAGTTGAAGTAATAGCATTATGACATTCAAAAGATTCTATTAGTTGGCCATCATAAATGAATGAATTATTACAAACAGCAGAGGAATGAATTTGCTGATAAAATCAAAGGTGTCTGACAAAGAAAATACATGTCAGCATAAGGGGAGGAAATTATAGAACTGAATGTAAAGAATTAAACCCTTAAGATAGGAGAAAGGTTGAAAGAGAGAGAGAGAGAGAGAGAGAGAGAGAGAGAGAGAGAGAGAGAGAGAGAGAGAGGAAGAGAGAGAGAGGAGAAAGAGAGAGTCAGAGACAGAGATAGAGAGAAATGAGGATCAACTGTAGAAGGAAACATAGACGAATTTAGCCACGCTGTAGAAGCAAACCAGGTGAGATCATTCACTATTTCCAGAATCAATGTTTCTAGCAATCAGTCTCATGGATATTCTCTCTTTGGTTACAGTGGTGCTGTTCAAAATCTTTCCAGTTGCCCTTTCGACGTTACCTTGTCAGAGCACTTATGACAATGTCATAAGGGTTATAAAATCAGTTCTGAATTCAACTCCAGATAGGTTAACTCTTTGAATCCCAAAGAACGCATCACACATTTATAGGTTCCTATCTAGATGCCCAATGAATGCAGTATGCGTCAATTTCACATCTCTACTATTTTTTAGGCCTCTCATGCTAAACATACTGTCACTGAAACAGTTAGCTTAGCTAAACTCTTTGAAAACCAGATTTCACAGAAGATGCCAAAGTGAAAAAAAAACCATGATGAAATACATGAATGAATTACTTTCCAAGTGGCAATACACACAGTTTTAATTACATAGAAGAAACCAATTTCTTTAGTTTGTTCTGACTAAATGTTGAGCTTAGATTACATGATGCTGTGAAGGGAAATCAAGGGATATTGTCACCCTCACACTGCTCGTTTCTTGGGGTTGAAAGTGTTCACTAAAAGTATATTGAGGTGACTAACTAGTTAAGACTACTCCAGAGTGGCTGGTAAACTTAATGCGTATGCCCAGAAAGGTCTATTGGGCTGGGTTCAAAGACCTCAGAATCTCTGAGAAGGTAAATTAGGTTTTGAGGCTTTGAACACCGGATCAACATCATGGCACACAGGTGTAACCCATAGGTGCTCCATTCTTCTTTTAACCCAAGTCTGAGTCTGAAGAAGCTCAGCACAGTGCACAGGCTCTGTAGCACCGGCAAGGATCCTGAAATACCTTTGGTAGATTTTCAACTCCAAATTTTGCCTTGGCAGCGCCGTTAAGCTAATCTTTTCAATTTCCAACAGCCAAGGGATTTTTGTATGTGTGCAACAATGCACATGGGCGTCTAATCTCACTACCCAGAGACCAGTGGGAATTTTTAGAAGTCCAAGTCCACGTGAAAAAATCCCACCCCTTTCTGGGGATTGATCCCGGAACCTTTAGCACTCGAGGCGGATATCATGCCTCGAGACCACGCAGCTCCTCAAAAAGTAAATTTAAAAGTAAAGAACTCACTGCATGCTAGCAGCGCATCTGGCAAATACTGTCAGATTCACATTTTTATGAAACACAGGAACCTGATGGACAGTGTGGTTTATGTTATGCTGGCTACTATTATTTCCGTGGACATTTACTGGTAACTATTTTAGGCTAGGTTGATCTGGGAGCCATGGTCAACTAAAGAAAAAATATTAATCTGTGGATACAGATTTGAACTGAAGATCACTAAGCTGGCAGGCATTTGAGCCTGAAAGAGCGGCAAAGAAATTGTTTTAATCTTTGTGCTTCAGCTTCAAGGCATATAAGAACCCAAACAAGTCGACTGGTTTCTTGACAGGGCTTCTTTTGGAAGTGGATGGGTATATCAGCCCAGAATGCTGGATTCTCCACTGTTAGGAGGTAATAACTGTGGAACTGTACACTTGCATGGAGGTTTGAATACCGCCATTATTGGGGCTGGATTCTCCACTGTTAGGAGGTAATAACTGTGGAACTGTACACTTGCATGGAGGTTTGATCACTGTCATTATTGGGGATTTGATCACAGACCAGATGTAGGTCACTAAACAATAAACCTGTCACTACACTTCACAGAAACTAATATGTGATCAGTCTCTCAAGAATTAAAGAATGTGTATCTGTGCATAACTTTGCACATTTCATTGTATGTAATAAAGAAAGCCATTCCAGTGAGCAAACCTTTTAAAGACCATTTAAAAAGCTGATAAAAAAATAATGAGAAACATTCATCAGCTAATGCCGCACTGAAAAGAGCTACATATTGATAAATAAAATATTAACATTTTTCAAAAAAGAAAAAATATCACTGACGATTTTACAAAATATAACAGATTCTATAAGATGTAACCGTCTTTTCCACCTGTAATTACCACTTTTTGGAGTGGTGATGATTTCTTCTTCTTTGCGTTCACTGGCTGTTAACTACAGCGGAGAGTTCTGTTTCATCATCCACTTCTGGATTGTACTCTTGTTCCAGAACTTGAATGTTGCATGCACATTCTTTCGACAGATCTTGCTTTCCTGTATGCAGACAGTCGGTTCTTTGTCTTTCACACAGATGCGCTCAACTTTGTAGAAAACCTCTAATAAGTTGATTTTTAAAACATGTTTGCCAGGTAGACAGTGGGTCCATTCTTGTTTTCCCTATAATGGGGCCCCGGAACCCAAATGGGGGAGGAGGGGTGTAGTCAGAGAGATTTTAAGCCTTAAGGATTTAAGGCTACATGATTAGTGTTGCCATCATGGTCTGTTCCGGATAAGATTTTTATTTTTAGCAGCAACAGAAAAAAAAGTACATCACCTTACAGAGGGTTTGAATACTGGGTTATTGAAAGACAGCCCCAGTGTTCTAACGGCTCAGCCAGCCACTTCTCAGTAGATGTATTAAAAAAAAATTATTTATATATTATATATTATTGTGTCTTCAGACTTAAAAAGCTTTTTTGAAGTTTTCTCGTTAAGGAACACTGTATATAACACCCATATTTATCACTTTGCAGCGCAAGATTGAAAAGGGGGGGGGGGGGGGGGGGGAGTGGAGTGAATCTAGAATTTAAAGCTGCATGGTTACTATTTTTGCCACAGCTGTACCAGTTAGACATTTAATTTTGAAAAATCGTTATAATTTAGCATGGATCAAATCTGGGTCTCCTGCATAATTGCTCAACCCCTTGGCCAGTTGTTCCTTGTAATATAACACACCTACACTATTACAGTAAAATTTAACATTATCTGCAGCAAATTCACATATCTAAAACTGTTTTACAATTGGCGATCGATCAACATATTACACATATTCATAATGAAGCCCAGTGTGTTACAGTAAGGATGATAATACGTGCATTAAAGAAGAAAAATTGCCATGTTTAGGCATTAGAGAGTATTATGGTTATAAACAATAAAACGTAAAAGTAAAAATCTGAAAGAAACAATGCAAATTAATTTATGTGTAAAAATTAAAAGTGTAAAAGTAAAATACAGGAAAAAAAATTTTTTATGAGTGAAATGTGGAAAAATCAGCGAACAATTTTAATGTTAAAAAAAAAAAGGAAACAAAACTAAACAAAAATGATATGATAAAATGCACTGCTAATTATCTTTAGGTATTAAATTATAATATCTGATAATGGAGTTTCTAGATTTTCATCATCAACTTTATAGAGATGTTAAAAATCTGGGATACTTATGGCGTTTCCAGATGCTCTGTGATGTGGCTATCAAACCTGTACTGTATTGTAAACAGAAAAAAAACAACACCAACAAATGAGAGCAATAATTCACCTGTACTGAATAGGATACATAAAGCAAGACTGTTGTACCAACCTAGAGCTGATTAGGTACTGGGCAAGTCCAATACACTCCGGAGATCCTGTGATTGTCACCTTGCGGTCTGACAAGCCATTTTCTGCATTTGAGATTTTAATCGTTGCTCCAGAAACTTGTCTGTAATTTTTAAAACACATAAATGATCAAGCAACAACAACAACAACAACACTGTCAAATGTGTAACTGTCTGTATTTCTAAACATGTGCATGATTAAGTTAAAAAAAAAAAATGTTACTTTATTGTAATTTATACAATTGAGGAATAAGCAAGAAAATAATGTTATTTTTTGCCCTTTTAAATATGTGGATGTTAACCCTCTGAAGACTGAGAATTTTAGAATTTCAGTGCCAATAAATAAGATGAAGCCTTCAGGATGGGATTCTCACAGTTTATACACAAAAAAATTATTTTAAAACAAGTTTAATTAATATATATAAAACTATATATATTCGTGTAGGAAATTGAATGAGCTAACAGAATATTCATGAATCTAACATTTGTTCAAGTAACTATTCTGATCTGCATAATTTTGCATTTTGTTTTTAAAACTTGGGAACAAACATGACAAAGCTAAAATATTTGGGTGAATTTTTTAATCAATAAAGCTTGAAAAAGACCTAACACTTATGTTTTGGGAAGTAAGACTCTTGGAGGCCCTCCGGACACTTCTGGCAGATGGTTCTACTCATTTGCCTGCCTCCAGCTATGTTTCAGTTGCTATGTCGCAACAGTCTTTCACCATTGTTGGGCACAGGTAAACCCAGAAAACAATTGATAAAATTATCAAACACATCAAACTTTCTCGATAGCCACCAATGAACAGCCCACATGTGCAAGAAATGGGCGAAGCAATCTCACTGGCTGGTACAAGACCTGCTAGCTAATCTCAAGGCTTGTATTACATAGGGCTGACCGATTGGCCCAGTCGTCCTTTTGGCTACTTTGTGTCGGGCCGATATTTCGGCAACCTCGTTTCCAAAGGGTTAAAGCAAAAAAAACAATCTGAATTTATAAAAATTATAGATAATTTAGTGAGACAACAATCTCTTACTTCTTATGAATTTATAAAAAAAAAATAGATTATTAAGCCGGAAAACAATATACAATATCTTCTGCAAGGATTTAAAAAGGAAAAGAAAACTAAGTTTAAACACAATTTTTATGTGGTTTGGACACTATAAAAACATGGTTTGGACACTATAAAAACATGGTTTGGACACTATAAAAACATGGTTTGGACACTATAAAAACATGGTTTTGACACTATAAAAACATGGTTTGGACACTATAAAAACATGGTTTGGACACTATAAAAACATGGTTTAGACACTATAAAAACATGGTTTGGACACTATAAAAACATGGTTTAGACACTATAAAAACATGGTTTGGACACTATAAAAACATGGTTTGGACACTATAAAAACATGGTTTGGACACTATAAAAACATGGTTTGGACACTATAAAAACATGGTTTGGACACTATAAAAACATGGTTTGGACACTATAAAAACATGGTTTAGACACTATAAAAACATGGTTTGGACACTATAAAAACATGGTTTGGACACTATAAAAACATAGTTTGGACACTAGAAAAACATGGTTTGGACACTAGAAAAACATGGTTTGGACACTATAAAAACATAAAGGTATATTTTTAAAATATTAAAATTCAAAGACAAAGAAAAGAAAAAGAAGAAACTGACATTCAAGAAACAACAATATCAGGCAGACATGCAAAGACTTCATAATTCTGACTTAACTCTTTTATTCCTTCTGCTAATTTACTCTCCACCCCTTCTATCTTAAGAAGTTGTTAACTGACTAAAACTAGCATTCAGGACAACCCATATCAGTTCCGTCTCCCTTCTCAAAGGTCAGTGAAGAGTCTCCATACCACCTCATCATATGGTCAAATACCCCCACCCCCTTCCCAGCATTTCAAGTGGCACCCATAGCCTGTAGATACTCCTTGCCACATACTTCTCTCCAGGTAAGGGTTTTGGGTTACTTCCATATTCTGTGTTACCTCATCCCACAGGCAGGACATCCCCCTCTGCCTTGTGCAGTTGCAGCACACCCCCCAAGTGTGGCCAGTCCAGCCAACCTATCTGCCTGCTCATTCCCATACATGCCTGCATTTCCTGGAACAAATATCCATGCAACTCTCACTACCTGTGACCTCTGGATTGATGCCACCTATTCCTCGGGGAAAAAAACAATAATTCACCTTAATGAACATGCTTTGTGAATCCGCTACTATGACCACATGTGTACACAGTAAGAGAGAAGGTGTTTAAAACACCTGGTAAGACAGTAGGTTCAAATAACATCTTGATGTTGCACAAAGAATTAAGAAATTATATCATGTATGCATGAGGAGAATGGTGCCGCAGGGAGATATCAGGAGATCTGGCTGATGCTCAGCACTCAAGGGAAGGGTGAGACAAATATACAATCAGATAGTTACTGGTACCATTGGAACTGGAACTCTTTGCTTGCTGCTGAAGATGGGGGCAGAGTGCTTATGGAAGGGCTGTGATGCCGATGCTTTAGTTCAACATTTAAGTTCCTTCTCTCCATAACACAAAGCCCTGTAGAGATCATGTGTTGCCTGTACAGCATGATCCCTCTCCCAGCCTGCATGGTCCACTTCTAAGGAAAGCCTACACAGATAGGTTGGGAACAAAGCATGCTACAGAAGCTGCCATATCAGAACATTGGTCCCCCGTGTGAGTTCCGGGGCCCCATTGTGGGAAAAAACAAGAATAGACTCCTTGCCTCCCCAAAAGCATGTCGTAAGAGTCGACTAATTGGGGAGCTTCCTTTGAAGTCGGAGTGAATCTGCCGGAGAGGCAAGGAATCAACAGTCTGTATTCAAGAGAATGAGATCTGTAAAACTGATGCACATGCAACACTCAGGTTATGGAGCAGGACTGTAGTTCAGTAGTGGACGAGCAACCAGAACTTTCCGCCAGAGTGTACAGCTGGTGAACGCGAAGAAGAAGAAGAAGAAGAACAGTGGTGCTCTGTCCATCCACATGTCGAAGCTTACCCTCCTAGACCAGCCGCCAAAGAAGGCTAAGGAGCTAATCTGCAGGACCTCACATTCAGCAGGGACCTCAATAAAACTCCTTCCGTAATGACATAGTCAATTAGTTTTCATTTAGGGAAAAAATGTTGTCAGAGTTAGAGTCTTTTAGAGAACAACATTATATAATATCTGTGATTTCAAATGCAGAAAATATAACATGAAAATAAATACTACTAAAACTAAAGTAATATAGGTCAGCAGAATCCCTAGTCAAGGAGAACAGATCAGGAAATAGAAACAAGATGCCAACAAGCCAGTAAACTTATATAGCAACTGACACAATTATTAAGACATCCAAATATACGTATGAGCGCCAAGGAACAGATTATAAACAACATATTCATACCAATACTGTGATACCAGTGCCAGACGTGGACATATTAAAGACTAACCTACGTTAAATTAACATATGCGAAATGAGATGCCTGAGAGAAGCCACCAACTTAACCATCTGAGACAAAGTTAGAAATGATATTATCAGACTGACTAGAAACAACATCATGCAGAAAATTCCTTGAGAAACAGAAGATCGAATGGTTTGGTCAGATAGTAAGAATGCAGCCAGTACTACTACCAATGAGGAGCTACACATGAAAAAATCTGAAGTGAAAGCAAGATGCCGCCCTAGGAGAAGATAGACTGATGATATTAAAGAGCTTGTACATCAACACGAAATGACAGTAGCTATTGCTGCCCATCCAGCAGTGGATCGGAAACTACTCCTCCGAGAACAGAGAACCGGTATTACTTTTATAAGTAGCTCAGTCATATCTGACCAAATCAACAGAGAACAGATAGTACCAACTACTATTACACGGTAGCTCAGTCATATCTGACCAAATCAACAGAGAACAGATAGTACCAACTACTATTACACGGTAGCTCAGTCATATCTGACCAGATCAACAGAGAACAGATAGTACCAACTACTATTACACGGTAGCTCAGTCATATCTGACCAAATCAACAGAGAACAGGTAGTACCAACTACTATTACACGGTAGCTCAGTCATATCTGACCAAATCAACAGAGAACAGATAGTACCAACTACTATTACATAGTAGCTCAGTCATATCTGACCAGATTAACAGAGAACAGGTAGTACCAACTACTATTACACGGTAGCTCAGTCATATCTGACCAAATCAACAGAGAATAGATAGTACCAACTACTATTACACGGTAGCTCAGTCATATCTGACCAGATCAACAGAGAACAGGTAGTACCAACTACTATTACACGGTAGCTCAGTCATATCTGACCAGATCAACAGAGAACAGGTAGTACCAACTACTATTACACGGTAGCTCAGTCATATCTGACCAAATCAACAGAGAACAGATAGTACCAACTACTATTACACGGTAGCTCAGTCATATCTGACCAGATCAACAGAGAACAGGTAGTACCAACTACTATTACACGGTAGCTCAGTCATATCTGACCAAATCAACAGAGAACAGATAGTACCAACTACTATTACACGGTAGCTCAGTCATATCTGACCAAATCAACAGAGAACAGGTAGTACCAACTACTATTACACGGTAGCTCAGTCATATCTGACCAAATCAACAGAGAACAGGTAGTACCAACTACTATTACACGGTAGCTCAGTCATATCTGACCAAATCAACAGAGAACAGATAGTACCAACTACTATTACACGGTAGCTCAGTCATATCTGACCAGATCAACAGAGAACAGATAGTACCAACTACTATTACACGGTAGCTCAGTCATATCTGACCAAATCAACAGAGAACAGGTAGTACCAACTACTATTACACGGTAGCTCAGTCATATCTGACCAAATCAACAGAGAACAGATAGTACCAACTACTATTACATAGTAGCTCAGTCATATCTGACCAGATTAACAGAGAACAGGTAGTACCAACTACTATTACACGGTAGCTCAGTCATATCTGACCAAATCAACAGAGAATAGATAGTACCAACTACTATTACACGGTAGCTCAGTCATATCTGACCAGATCAACAGAGAACAGGTAGTACCAACTACTATTACACGGTAGCTCAGTCATATCTGACCAGATCAACAGAGAACAGGTAGTACCAACTACTATTACACGGTAGCTCAGTCATATCTGACCAAATCAACAGAGAACAGATAGTACCAACTACTATTACACGGTAGCTCAGTCATATCTGACCAGATCAACAGAGAACAGGTAGTACCAACTACTATTACACGGTAGCTCAGTCATATCTGACCAAATCAACAGAGAACAGATAGTACCAACTACTATTACACGGTAGCTCAGTCATATCTGACCAAATCAACAGAGAACAGGTAGTACCAACTACTATTACACGGTAGCTCAGTCATATCTGACCAAATCAACAGAGAATAGATAGTACCAACTACTATTACACGGTAGCTCAGTCATATCTGACCAAATCAACAGAGAACAGGTAGTACCAACTACTATTACACGGTAGCTCAGTCATATCTGACCAAATCAACAGAGAACAGGTAGTACCAACTACTATTACACGGTAGCTCAGTCATATCTGACCAAGACCTGACTCTTGAGTAGTCTGTTACAAAATGAGTTCTATCTATGCTGAAAGGTTCTTGGCACTACTGACCTGATCTCATTAATCTTCTGACCCCCTCTGCCGATAATGCAGCCAATGAGATCATTGGGGATGTTCATTTCTTGTGCTTGTTGACCAGGACTGGACAAGGCTGAGTGTGGAGTGCCTGGGTTTCCTGGCCTTGGCGTATACTGCAGGCTTGAGCCTAAACCTAGAAAATAAAAAAATTGGAGGAAAACAGGACAAGCCTTTTAAACTTGGCAATAAGGTTTTCAATCTCATGTCCTCAGTTCATCTGTTACCCAAGAGTGTGTACAATTTTAAGAAGCAAATGGATCCTTACAGTCTGGTGAGAGTGATGCAGCAGGGAGTGACAAGGGGATCTGGCCGATACTCGTCGCTCAGAGGAAAGGCAAGACGAACGTATAATCAGAATTGGAACTCTGCACTGGCTACTGAAGATGGGGACAGAGCACTTACGCGAATGTCCCGAGTGTTGTGATGCGGGTTTTTGAATCAACTCAACTCAACTGAACTCAACTGTTTCCCATTTTAGTGCCTGTCTGGTGGTTTTCTGCTCAGTTTTTTTTATTGGGATATGCTCAGTTTCTCCCCACCTTCCCTGTCTCATAACTGTTGATACCAGTGCTTGATCAGACTGATCTCTTCACCTTCTTTGAATTCAGCTCATTTAACTCTTTGAGTCGGAAGGAAGGCGTCATATGTTCATAGATTCCTACACAGAAGCCCAGTGAAGGCAAGATGTGCCGATTTTACATCTTTCTCGACTAAACCTTGGGCCTCTGATGCTAAACCTCCTGGGATTCAAAGAGTTAATGTTCATCAGTTTCCTTAAGCATTTGTTTCTGCATGCATTTAATTTTCATTCCCTATGAAAACAAAGAGTAAATTCTTGTATCATCCAAAAATGTCTTCTTCTTTTTCTTCTTATTGATAAAATACAACTGTTGTGTGAAAAATGGGTGTTTGGAAGGGCCCAATGTAAAATAGGCTTGCATGCTTTATTTGCGACCCTTTGAAAATAAAGACTGTTCATGCATGCATTCTTCTTCTTCTTCTTCTTCTTCTTCTTCTTCTTTGCGTTCACTGGCTGTAAACTTGAGAGTAAAGTTCTGGTTGTTCATCCACTTCTGGACTTTACTCTTGTTCGAGAGTTTTGTGTATACATCAGTTTTACAGATCCGGCTGGTTTGTATGCATACTATTTGCTCCTTGCCTCTCAGACAGATGCACTCCGATTTCAAAGGCAATATCTCTACCAAATAGACTGTTACGACATGCTTTTTAGTGGTTAGTCTACTCCACCCTCCACCCCCACCACACACACACAAGGACAGCAAACACACACACACACACACACACGCACACAATGTGGCCTTGAAACGCAAACTGGGAAAGCAATTAAAAAAAAGAGTCACTTCTTTGTAGTCTAAACATCATCATCATCATAAACCACTTCTGCCGTTAAGCGTCGTGGGAAGGAATAATTTGCGTTCCAGTGCACGTTGGCTGCCACTGGCTATTGTCATGCCGTGAAGGCATAGAGTGTCTTTAATGTTGTCGATCCATGTTTTCCACGGCCGTTCTCTTGCTCTTGTAGTTGGTCTTCTGAGATGTAGTGCTTGTGATGGTATTTGATTTTGCTGTTTCTCGATGAATCTAGTACAAGGTGTCGTTCCCACAATTTGCCTGATAGTTTCATTCACTCGATCTCGTATGGTTAGGTTGGCTGCTTTTCCCAGGCACCTCATCTCGCAGGTGGTAATTTTGCGTATATGGGCTTTAGATAGTGTCTATGTTTGGCACTGGTAGCTTAATGTTGGAATAAATATGCTATTAATAATCTGTCTCTTTGCATTCATAGTTAATTGGTATATAAGTGCACTTGCTTTCTGACATCTGGTTTCTATTTCTCTGTCAATTCTACCATCTTCTGTGATCATACTTCCTAGATATTTAAACTCTCTACCTTGATTCAGGGCAGAACCATTCAGCTGTATGTGTAGTGGGGCAGAATGTCTGTAGTCTAAACAATAACTGAAAAACATGGACATTTCTTACTGATGCATGGTGACGAAGACTGTGTTGGGGGAAGTGGCCCTGGCCATAAAGGGGGGAGAACTGTGTGACCTAGACCTGCGAAAGACAAAAAAAAAAAAAAAACATACAAACTGGTATACACACTGGTATGCAGATTATACTTTGCAGGTTAATTAGGACAAATAATGTTTCATTAAAGTAGCACAGCAGATGTGCAAAGTAATGAGCAGGCTGATGGACTGGCTGTGTCTGCTCATCAGGCGGGCAGCTACTTTATGATTAAATGGACACGGTGAAAATCTCTAGAGGAACACTGTTCAACACAATATTCTTACCAACACTATGCTATTAGTGTCAAACATGGATATTGTCTTCAGAAGACAGAAGGTAAATAGTCAAAACAGAAATAAAATATTTACATACAATGCTAGGTGTAACAAGGAAAGATCGACTTAAGAACGATGATTTCTGGAGGAGAGTTGGCACAGAACCAATACTGAACATTTTAGGTAGACAAAAGATCAAATGGTTTGGCCATGTAACAAGGTTGTCATCAGACAGGGCACCACAGAGAGCCATGTTATACAGATACAACGGTAACATATGCAGATGTCGACCATGCAGAAGATGGACCACAGAAATATCACAGACACAGAAAAGTACTTTGTACGAAGAGAACAGAAGGGGTCTTTCCGGAAATCTCTTCCTGCTCTGATGCTGCGAGGAATTCCAGAAGTAGAGAAAAGAAGAAAGTAAAGGTTTTTAGGAATCAAATGGACACTGCAAGAAAACAGAGAGAGAATTCCACATACTGATAGACTAATTCAAGGAGCGAGTAGAGGGTGTGGAGAAATTCAACACTGAGGTTAAGCAAAGGTGGACTTTTAGGTATTCAACACTGAGGTGAAGCAAAGGTGGAATTTTAGGTATTCAACACTAAGGTGAAGCAAAGGTGGACTTTTAGGTATTCAACACTAAGGGGAAGCAAAGGTAGAATTTTAGGTATTCAACACTAAGGGGAAGCAAAGGTGGACTTTTAGGAATTCAACACTGAAGGGAAGCAAAAGTGGACTTTTAGGAATTCAACACTGAGGGGAAGCATAGGTGGACTTTAAATCAGGTTGCAGCTGGCACTATGAGCATGTTGACTCTTTGTTGGTTACTGAGGAAGGAGACGGAGCACGTGTGGTAATGTCCTGAGTGCAGTAGTGTCAGTTCTTGACTCATTCATTCATTCATTCAATATAAGAGATGTTTCTTCTTCTTATAGTAAACGTTATAGGGCAATCATAGTCACGTCTGTGCACAGTTGTCTGTTTCGTCTATAGTTTCTGAAACAGACATTATTCCATGCGAGAATGCCAAACTGTCCACCTGTCTCTTGGTCTCCCCCTGCCTCGTTTTCCCTCCAGGTTTCTCAATGTCTCAATGTACCTCAGCGGCCCCTTTATTATAACATGCTAAAAGAAAATACAGCTATCTTTTGATAGATTAAACAATTGTCTTTTGTGAGTCGTTTTTTTTTCGAGACATATTTTTCATGTTTTTTTAAAAACCTGTCCATGGTGTTCTCAACATTTGTCTCCAAAGTTGCATCTTCGCAACTTCAACATAATTTTCCACCTAACTTCAACATACTTTTCTGCTCAACTTCAACATAATTTTCTGCTCAACTTCAACATACTTTTCTGCTCAACTTCAACATAATTTTCCACCCAACTTCAACATACTTTTCCGCTCAACTTCAACATAATTTTCCGCTCAACTTCAACATACTTTTCTGCTCAACTTCAACATAATTTTCTGCTCAACTTCAACATACTTTTCTGCTCAACTTCAACATAATTTTCCGCTCAACTTCAACATACTTTTCCGCTCAACTTCAACATAATTTTCCACTCAACTTCAACATAATTTTCCGCTCAACTTCAACATACTTTTCCGCTCAACTTCAACATACTTTTCCGCTCAACTTCAACATACTTTTCCGCTCAACTTCAACATACCTTTCCGCTCAACTTCAACATACTTTTCCTCTCAACTTCAACATAATTTTCCGCTCAACTTCAACATAATTTTTCACTCAACTTCAACATAATTTTCCGCTCAACTTCAACATACTTTTCCGCTCAACTTCAACATACTTTTCCGCTCAACTTCAACATACTTTTCCGCTCAACTTCAACATACCTTTCCGCTCAACTTCAACATACTTTTCCTCTCAACTTCAACATAATTTTCCGCTCAACTTCAACATAATTTTTCACTCAACTTCAACATAATTTTTCACTCAACTTCAACATAATTTTCCACTCAACTTCCACAAAATTTACCGCTCAGCTTCCACATAATTTTCCGCTCAGCTTCTACATAATTTACCGCTCAGCTTCTGACTTTCCGTGATTCACGTCCAGACATTAATAGAGAACTGTTGAAAACTCTTTATTACCTCACTTCGCAAATATAGATTGCATTGAATAATCTTCATCCTAGGAAATATTGCTGTTGCTTGAGATTTTTCGATTATAAATTTCATTTTTTTTTTCAAAAACAAACAATTCACTATGTGTATTTCGGCCATGCCAAAGATAACAAAGTAATTTTGCTGTCGTACGGATGATAATTTCCGCAGACTGTATGTGAATTATAGTGCCAGTCCTGACCTATGGGAGTGAGTCATGGCCAATGAGAAAACACTTCGCAGACGCCAGCTTCAGGCATGAGATATCTGAGAAGCGTGGTCCAAGCGACAAAAAGGGACGAATTTGGCAACCAAACAATTCACCATGCTCTTGAAATCCACGCCTGAGCACATTCTGCAGTACTGCCCTTACCTCTCCCAGCAAAGACTGTGGATCTGGCCCAGTGGATCCACATTGCGAGAGAAGCTATGGGGGACCGGTGGCGACCTTAAACGCACAATTCTATTTGTGACCCAGACGGGACTCAATGTTTAGTATGAATGATATCGAATGCTGAAGAAGAAGCAGAAGAAATCCCCGCCTTACAAACTCGAGTGGATCAGTCACCGTTTTGTTAGTTTGGATATGTGTACGTAATGGGAGAAAATCGGCCACCATGGCTGGCATGGGAGATCAAGAACCAGGTAACCAGACCTCCAGGACGACCCGGGGTTTGCTGGGAAGACAA